ATTAAGGATATAATAAATATATATAATTAATATTTCATTGGTATTGTAAAATGAAAGAAAGTAACTCATTTTCTTAAAATAAAAATTGTAAGAATATAATTTTGAAATCATTATGGTAATTATAAATTTTGGTCGATTGAATCAAGACTTTTTTACTTATACGAACTTCTTATTTAATAAGAATTTACATTATTTTTAGAAATTATTAATTCCTTAACTAAATATAATTCTAATAATATTTTCTTGTTTAGTAAAATATTTGTGTTATTTAAATTCGTACCTTAATTTATTGGAAAAAAATATTTTCTAACATTTATATTCGATAAGGAAAATGTAAAGGACAAGAAATTGTGCATATCTCCTTTAATATATAAATAATTAATTTATTTATATAAAATGAATTGGAAAACATTAATATCTAAGTCTTCCATACCAGACATTTGGTACATAGAATACTTTTACTTTTGTGAGAATCATAAATTTAAAATCTTGATTTTTCATGCTTGATAGTTATTTAAAAAATATTCTCAGAAATGTAATTTGAAAAGAATTATTTTTATCTCTTTTTCATAAAAATCTTCTCATGAGAGGGATGGGAAATGAGAATCCAACTTTCCCAACTGAGTTAGAAGAAAAATTTTATGTGTATAAAAATACCACAATATCCCTTTTTGAAATTGAAAATCTCTCTCCTTTATTTCTCTTTATTTCTCTATCCCTCTCACTCTCAAGTGTAACACCCTGATTTTCACAAATTATATGAAGGCCCAAAGCCCAATAAGGGTGATTTAATAGCGTAGAACGGGTCGTTTCCAAACTGGAATGAGGCGTTCCAAACCACAAAAGGTTTGTAATCCTAGTTGGGAATGAGCCATTCTAATTTAAGAACGGGTCATTCTAAACATGGCTGTTATGAGTTAAACTCAACCCCAAAACGGGTCATTCTGGTTTAAGAACGGGTCGTTCTAGATGTGAATTTTACACATGATGAATGAGTCAAGAACAGATTGTTCTGGATCCGAAATGGGCCTTTTTGGCCACTCCTGACGTCTATAAATAGCAAACTCTGGCAATCCTCATGGACACACTCTCTGAAGACCAAGGAGAACCAAGAGAAGGAGATCAACCATATTTTGCTCTAGCTTCATCTTCTGCTTGTCCAGGTAAGGGGAGAGTGAGAAACCTCGCTCTAGGTGTGGGAATGTATGTTGGGTAGTGGGATTGGCCCCCAATCCAATGTTTGTTGTATGCTCATGTATGAGGGGTTTTTCCCAATTATATCTGTTTCATCTATTGCTCTTCTTATAGGTAAATAATTGTATGATTTGAGATCTCTATGGGTTCCTATGGGAAACCCTAAGGGAATGCATTGGTGATTGTAAAAGGAGATTGTTTGAAAAGGCAATTATATGAGTAAATTATATTGTTTTAAATGTTTATTGTATGAATTAGAGTGCTCTGTGGGTTCCTAAGAGAACCCTATGAGAAATTGACAAAATATGAATGTTTTTTGTTTTGCTTTCTGATTGTTCTGTTATGTTCCTTGTTGGACGAGATGTACGAATATGTGTTTAATTTCGCAAATAGACAAGTTTTGATATGAGTTAAAGTGCTCTGTGGAGAATATGTGAATATGATGAGATAATGTGAAAAGTGAATATGAGACATGAGATATGAGGATATGTGATAATTAGACATGATAATGTGATATGAAAATGCATAGAGTTTTGATTTACATGCATCATTTGCATAAATGTTTTTAAGGGTACGATATGGAATACAACGCCAGGGAAGACCCCCTTGTGTAAAAGCTTGGGGATTAGCCTGGTAGTATGTCCTTCTAGTGAGAGTGCGTAGAAGGTGTGACCCGGCATGTACTCCTAGACTACTCTCATGTGTTGCTAGCGGCAATACACCATGTGATGTGTTACTGGCGCCACATGCATGATAATATGTAGTTCGTGTCCATTACATGTGCATTTTAATGTTATATGTTAACTTGATATTTTTATGTCTTTGATGAGTAGAATGTGATATTGTTGTTAACCTATCTATGCTATGTACATATACATGTCTTGTTTGTGTTTGGTTATCTGGTGTGTATTCCTACACCGTGAGCCAGAGTGAGATGTTTCTCACTCCTTTTTCTTTTGTGTTATTTTTCATTGGTTGTTATACAGGTGATCATCAGCATGAGGTTGAGGATGTTGGTGATGAAGCTTAGGCTTCAGTGTTGGGCTTTGCTCTGACAGGATATGTGACATCGGGGCGTAGATAGGATTAGATTAGGATGTTGTTTCTATTAAATTATTTTGAAAACCTTAGCCTTATTTCTTTTGTAATTTCCGCTGATTATGTTATTTGTTAAGTCATGGATGTGATGCTCTCTATCTGAATACGTTTGATATTTTTATTATGAAAGATTATGTTCTTCAAAATTTTATTATTTATGTGTTATGGTATGCGGGGTATAGGGTGTCACATCAAGCCCCCTCCCTTCCTCTCTCTCCCTCTCTCTCTTTTTGTCTCTCTCCTTCTA